ATCATCTCCTTTGTCTTGTTTGTGTTGAGGGAGAGGTTGTTGTCATCACACCATGCCACTAGACCGGCCACCTCCCTCCTGTAGGCCGCTTCGTCACCCCCAGTGATGAGACCGATCACTGCAGTGTCATCCACGAACTTCAGGATGAAGTTGTCCTTGTGGGAGGCGACACAGTCATGGGTGAACAGGGTGTAGAGGATGGGGCTGAGAACGCGTCCCTGAGGGGTGCCAGTGTCGGTGATGATGCTGGCTGACTCCTGACAGACTGGGGCCTGCCAGTCAGAAAGTCTAGGAGCCAGTCGCAGAGGGTGGGGTGCAGGCCAAGTGTGAGCAGTTTGAGGGTGAGAGACCCGCTCTTCCTGTAGATAAAAACGTCTCATTCTAACATAACCACAACAATTCATATATTCAGGTGATGACACACTAATAAAAACACGCCTATTATTATTATATAACATTTCTGCCATTAGATCCTCCTCAGTGTTACACACTGGATCTTTGAAGCAAGACACATGTCAAAACAGGGACAGGTGAGTGTAAAGGTAAATAAACACTAGGGACTAGTGTCCAAATACTGTAACAGTGTTTATTTCTTCCTTATTTTATATTGCTGTGTTGTTCTCATAACCCTCGTCCTACCCCAGTATGATTTGGTTTTCCTAGATATTTCTTTATCTTTCATGTTATCAATAGTATCAAAGTACATATTCTCAATAATCAATAATGGATATAATTTCTGCTGGTTTTACTGTATCTACACTTGAGTTGTAGTTTCTATAGCTTTACCATGAAATATTTACACATTACAATTGTACTTTTCAGTGATAAGCAAAGAGCAGTTTAGCTCGTACAATGTCTCACCAGGCTTTACAGGCCACAACAGTGCATGTTGTCTGCTCTCTGAGGAGGAAAAACAAAAAAACTGAAATAATTTTTATATGGGGGGGAAGAATGGGTGATATGTCGTTAGAGGTATTAAGGAGAAATCCCTCTTCTCAGATAGCTAGGGGGATAAAATGAATATATATAGTGGTAACAACCCACTCACCAGAGAGATCAGTTCTGCATTTCATTCTAAGTTAAAATGTTAAAAGGAGAAATGAAACCATGAGACTCAAATGACGGTTAGAAGGCACAACAGTGTCGCTCAGTGTTTAACTTTACATATGTAAATTAGATTTAGGCAAAAAAAGCAACAAGACTAGTATGAGGCTGTTTGGTCTTTTAAGAAAAATATTTAAATCTTTTTTAACCTTTTTCAGAGAAACAACCAAGAAATGTGTTCAGTCAGAGTTCATTAACCCATAGGCTAACTCTTCCCGTGGCCTTCACCTTAACTTTTATCATTGTGTTTTGATAGTAATAGGCAGTAAAACTAGACCCGGGTGTCTGGACCCTGACATCACTTTACACATCACATTACACATATTGTGCACTGGTCATGACTCATATTCACCCCCTGCTTGTGGAAGTCCATGTTAATCATAAAACATATATATTTAAAAAATGTCAGATGAAAAATCAAAGTATTGAAACCAACTTGAATTTACGGACATGATTATACAGGTAAGTCAGGAATTCAGTTGCCCTCTTCAAGGTTTATAATCTTTCTGCAAAATGCTTAAAAGAATCAAACTTTCTGACACTTATGTCACACAACCTCGAGCCCTGCTAAATAACTGTCACAAAAAGAGTCCATCATGGATCATTGTGATGGAGTTTTTGGCCTTTGGCACTTTCATAAAAGCTTCACAATTAAACTGTAGGACTCAGTATTGATTTACATTTTTTTATACCGGTGCCAGTAACAATACTTGTACTACTTTTTTATATATGTTAATACTACTTTTTTATATATCTCACTTTGCAGGGGGAAAAAAACATTTTTACAAAACCCAGCAAAGAAGAAGAACTTCTCAAATGCCTCAATGTGTCTTAATACAAGGCAGCCATAGAAAAACGTTACCTAAATAAAATACAGTGTAAAATTAGCAAACTCCAACTTAAATCATTAAAATATCTAAATAAAGCATAACTAAACAAAACTAATCAGTATGTGATACTCTCTGCAACAGACACCTTAGGTCAGTGTCCCAAAAGTATTGAAGATTAACAGTATGTTAGTTTAGCATGTGTGCTTTTCCAGGTAATACTGGGTCAACATCAGAGCAGAGTACAGTACAGTATGTCACTGCAAAAAACCCATATCACTACAGCAAGAGCTATTGCATTGCAAAACTGAAACATTGGAGTGGTAGTTTTATTTTTGATGTGTTTGCTTTTTCTCAAAAGCCTGGAAAGGGTAAAACTTAAACTTTGATTGAGATTGGATCGAAGTTAATAACATTATATAATTTTTTATGGTGAACCTGAAAAAAAACTGCAAAACACAAATGTGAGTCGATAAACATGATACAGTATAATCAATGTTTTCGCCAAGGGTTCAAATGACCTTACAGTATAAGAATAATTTTGGGTTAATGAACCCAGGCAATGAACGCTGTATTAACTGTACGTCAAGGTCAAGTGTCATCACATACCAGACATGTTGTCCATCACACACCGAGAGTTCAATAACCTGGGGAAACTAAAACCGGAGAAAACATAAAAGTCAACATTTAGGAGGCGGGGAGGAGGTTAACCTTACAAGAAAATCTAACTGTGTTTCAGGTTGACTCTTCAAAATGATCTAATGATTATCCTATCAAACGGTTATTATTATCACAGTATTAACTTACTGGTATAGCATATGCTATCAAGTTAAGACTGTGATAATAATAACCGTTTAATAGGACAATCATTAGTAGTAATATGCTATTACAGTTGCATGTATGTTAATAATAGTAAAAAAAAAAAAAAGGGTTGGACACTCTCCAGGTGCCAGTCATTACACCATGATTCATTGTTTTGCCTGCTTGACCTCAGAATACAGCAGTTGTTCCACTAATAGAATGAAGGACATTTTATTTTTACGGTCTTGGTTGGAGATAAACGTCTGTCCTCCGTGTCCGTCACTGCCTTCTCCTAACCTCTATAAACACACGCCTTATCGCAGGCATTTACAACAGCACCAGCATGCCTCATGGAGCCCGAGGGCTGCTGAGGGCATTATAGGTCACTTTGCTGAAATTCTTGAACATAACGTAATGCGTATCATCATGCATTTGAAGCTGCAGATCCATTATGATTTAGCTCCTGTGAGAGAAGATGTGTCACGTCTTACATGAATAATCGCCCTAGTGTATCATCATGAGATCACACCAGGAAAGAAAATGAGGCAAACCCATTCTGGAGTATTCTTTGACAGAATAAGTAAAGAGACTGATGAAGTAAAACAAACATTCGGTGACTGGTGCTGCCAGTAGTGTCTGGCTTGTAATCTCTTTATTGCAGTCATTCACTTTATTGACTGACCTTGACTCTACTGCTTTGCGGTTCACCTCTCCCATCCTATGATGGTTTCAGGCTTCTTTGATTGTGCAGCAGGTGTCCCGACAAAAGTGAAGAGCAAAATATGTTATGAACTGTGTCACCTGTCGCTATACAATGTGGTAAATGTTTTAGCTGGTTCATGGTACTAAATGTCCAAAAGTGTCACTGAAAATGTGGTTTGTTTATTTGTGACAATAACAAAGCAATTTGCTTATCAGTGTCAAACCTCAGTGCCAGGCACCGGGAAGATAAGAAATTAGGGTAAACCTATTTAAATGACAAGTGGAACATTAAACCACCTGTTACAAACACCATAAACAGGAATTCCTTGAATTTTCTTGGACAACTTAGATTGTTTCGTAATTATAAAAAGTTATCTTACAGGTTTAACTTTGAAACATAAAAAGAAACTGATTCTGCTTCCTTGACTGTTAAAGAAAGAAAGGCTCACCATCATCTATCTATCAGCTACCCACACTATAATCAGCCTCATGACCAAGTGAGTTGGATGTGAATGTATCTAAAATTATAGAATTTTTGTATTCAGAGCAATGGGTTTTTAAGTACACTGACAACCTTCACAGTGATAGCAACAATCCATCTTTTCATCAGTTGTGCAAAACAACAAACACTTCAGTTTTTGCTGGATTTCTTCTACAATTTAGACATCTGTCTGTCCACCACATTGGTCCCGACTGAAATGTTTCAATAACTATTGGATGGATTGCCATGATATATTATACAGACATTCACACTCCCCAGAGGATGTATCCTACTGACTTTGGTGATCCCCTGAATTATCCTTTAGTGCCACCATGATGTTGATGTTGTTTTTTGTGGACTGTCTCTGATGCATTGCGATTAAATTTGTGACCCATGTGCCGCTGGTTGAATTGTAATAACTTTGATCCCTTAACTTTTTTACTCTAGTGCCATCATCAGGTCAAATCTTCAATTTGTCCCACTAATAACATCCCCATGAGCCTCAGCTATAGGTCACTTTGTGTTTAGTGCTAATTAGCACGTTTTTGCATGTCAACCTGCTAAACTAAGATAGCTAACTAACAATGTAAATGTTACACCTGCTTCGCATCAGTATCCTAACATTATCGCTGTGAGGACATTAGCATGATCATGTTAGCATTAAGCTCAAAGCAACACTGTGTCAAATCTTTCTGAGGGTTGTGTTTGGAGGTACTAATGATCTCAGTATTTCTAAAATCCTATGAATCAGTAAATATAAAATAAATAAAAATTGGATTGGACACCAAATTAACATTTCAAAATTCCAGTGTTGTTCTACAGCTGCAATTAGATACATACAAAAAAACTTGAGGACTTAACTTGTAGGTCAATGCCCCTGCTCTGCTTTGGCCTCTCTCCAGCTCTGCAGGTGTGAGCTGGCAGTGTGCAGGGACACATGTAGTGTGGGGCTGATTACCTCTGCAGTCCTTGGTAGCTTGGTACTGCCTGGGTTAATGACACCGGCTACGAGATAAGGCCCCACCCTCTTGATATCCAGTCATTACTCCACCAGCTCCTTTTCATTGAGAAAAGCTTATCGGTTTCCCAGGGTTATTCCATCAGTCACCTGGCAGAGCACATAGTTGTTTTTCACAGAGTGTATTGACAAGTCAAGGTCCACTTAGCAGGGTGGGTTGGCCTTATAAATACAGGGGCACTGGAGGAAGCAGCAGCAGTAGTACTCACAACCTCATGAAGAGCCCATCCTGTGGAAGGTCACTTAGATTTAACTACGTAGATCTCTACAACCTATAAAATGGATAACGGGTGTCATTGTTCAGCCGAAAGCCTCTCTAATCCTATCCTCTTCAAAATCCTGAGCCAAATGGATAACAGCAAACCAAACCAAAACAGCTTCAACTACAATTCAGTACCTCATAGATGCAACTGTGAGCTGCGACGGACGGTGTGCTTGAAAAGGCCGTCTGAGATTTGTAAAGAAGCTTCAGCAGTTCTGGTTAAAACCATCCAGTTCATGAAGAACTTACCTGCTTTTAACCAGATGCCACCAAACGACCAGTTCTCACTGCTCAAAAGCTGCTGGGCACCGCTTTTCATTTTGGGCCTGGCCCAGGAGCATGTGGACTTTGAGGTGATGGACACCCCTGCCGACAGCATGCTGAAAAAGATTCTCCTGAACCGCCAGGAGAGCTCCGAGATGGAGAGGGATCAGCCCACCATGGCCGGTGTCAGCAAACTCAAGTCTTGCCTTAAAAAGTTTTGGAGTTTGGATTTGAGTCCAAAGGAGTATGCATACCTCAAAGGGACCACAATATTTAACCCAGGTATGTATCCATGATGTTCTGATTTCTTGGTTCTCAGGAGAAAATTTTCAATCGCTGCCAAAAGAATAACGAAAACTGCCTAATACATGTATGTGACCCCTAATGTCTTGTCTTTACATTAAACAGATGTCCCAGATTTAAAGGCAGCTCTGTTTGTTGAAGGCTTGCAACAGGAAGCTCAACACGCACTCAGGGACGTCGTCCAGCTCCTTCACCCAGGGGACCAGGAGCGCTTTGCTCGAGTCCTCCTCACAGCCTCCATGCTGCAGAGCATCACACCCAGCCTCATCTCTGAACTCTTCTTTCGGCCCGTGATAGGCCAGGCTGATCTGCTGGAGCTGTTGGTTGATATGCTCTTCTGCAGGTAGAAAAGGACAAATGGACTTGGACGTAGGCTAACTGTCCTGGAGAATGTTGAATCCAATGTTTTTAACAGTGGTGATGCAGAACTTTTTGTTGACCAACCCGAAACAATGTTTCCTCATGAAATGAAGGACTGGCTGACAGTGGACTGCTCAAACAAAGTGCTAGCCAGCAGAAACAGAAGATTGGTGATATTTACATTGAAGCTGAGGTCACTTTAGCCCAGTCTGAAAAGATTTTATCCACTGAAGTGAAAAGATTTGACTTTCCAGACTGTGCCCACTGTTAATACACTGTATCTTATCTAAGATTTTAACTTTAAATGTTGTAAGTGTTGTCTGCATCGATAAAACATTTCAAATAAATATATTTTTGTACATGAACGTAAAAGTAAAGTTCTGTCTCAGTTTATTTAAAAAGATCACAACATGCCGAATCTGACATAATGTTTGTTTGATATGCCAGTCATTGCACCTGGTAATGATCCCTGCACTTTATTTTGGCAGGTCCATCCTTACTGACAGGTTGTGCAGGCAAGTATTGCTCAAGCCCCATTTATTTTAAAGTCTTGTCAAGAAGCCAGAGTTTCTGAATGTGTACGAGCTGATGCAAGAGGCACAAGAGATTATGGGTTTAGTTTAAAAGTCGTAATACCATTTGACAGATGTTTTTTTAACCTCTAATTTTGAGGGGACTTCAACCCAGTAAGTTTTCTAGTGGTACTTTGTCTCCCTCTCATGGAAAATAGTGGAAATGTTTTAGCTGAGAAACTGAAGTCAGACAAAGTTGATAGAGTCTTTAAAATGAGTCCTGCCACTTTTGCTAGTTGCTACACAAACATTTAAAAAAATAAAAGCACTTTATAAACCAATCACAACATTTTACATGCACACAAGTGAGCAGAAGAAGTATCTGGATGCTGAATCAAGTGTCCTATAACAATAATCTTACTATTAAAAACCCTTTGGCTATATTTCATATAGAACAAACCCTCTTGATTCATCCTAGCCTGTGGTATGTTAGTTGTGAAACAGTGAGCCTTTGCATGACACCTCATACAGGTAAAACAGGAAAGTGCTGGTGAGGGTAGAGAGCCGGAGGAAACGGGGTTACACAGGGCAACTGCAACAAGCCATGAACAGAAAAGCAGGTCTATAAGCTCGAAATCTGGCACAAAACAATTGAAATAAATTGCTCATTTGTAGTTTACCAGGCTTTGAGTAGATGTGGTTTTCTACAAATAAGAGAAAAAAACATTTCACTTATTTTCCAATCACACTGTTTACACAATGTTTTAGAGGCAGTCTCTTGATGTAAGTGCAACTAGCTGTCTTATTCTGGGTTGTTTCAAGGTGTTGACAATACATTTCTGGAGTCCTCAAGGCTTAAAATGAGACTTATTACTGAACAAAACACACATATCCCCTTAATGCAAAATAGTACCTTAAATATGACTACAGCTGAAAATATGTCAGTAGACCAACTGCTAATAAAACACACCTAAGCACACTAATTTGTCTTCAGTGCTCATTGAATGCGTGTTATCACATATTTTCACATATTTTTAGCTGCAACAACAGAACTGACATAAAAAAAAGGACTACTTTACGACAAATATCTCAAAATCACATTATTGGAAAAACTAGTGAAATTCTTTTTACCCAAAACAGGACTTCAGGATGAGTTCCTGAAATCAGGCTAATTTTCTGCACTGCTTCTTCCCTTTGCAATAAATAACAAAGACAAACCCTGGGATTTTATTTCCTTTTTGTCAGAACCAGCCAAACAAGTTCCCTTCTTTTGCTCAGGGCGGAAAAAGCCTGCCTGGTATAACAGAGTGACCTCCGGGAGATGAGCCTAACAACAATAATCCAAGAGATAAAGAGGAAAAGTAGGTTAAAGAGACAGAAAACCATGCAAAGGAAAGACTTGTTGACATATGAGAGCAAATAATTTGTTGCAAAACACACAGAGCTGTTTATATTTAAACTAGCCTACTAAGTTCTGCAAGCATGGAGCTGTATGTCAAATATCCTGCAAGCTGAAATGAGAGAATACATATATGGATATTTTCCTCATTAAAAACACATGAAAAAGCATAAACATTTTATTTTGTTAAAAACAGGGCTTATCTGTGAATAAAAAAAACTGTGACCACAAGTGGTTTAACACCCAGTAAGTAACATCAACTTAAAAATATATACACATCAAAATATGGCTTAACAATGCAGCTTTCAGGACAAAACATGCTTTTAAAGAATCTAAATGGCAGGAGTCAATAAACCCAAACAGTGCATGCACAATGGCTTGCATAAACAACCACACAGACAAGAATGAGGACGGTTTTGTTCTACCATCAGTCTCTATCCTCTGGCCCAACTGCTAAGATTGCAAGGAGTGTAGTCATGTTGCTTTTTCTGAAAACAACTTTAAACACTGCGTACCAAAATACATTAAGATCTTTCCCTGTGGAAGAAAAAAAAAAAGTTTCCTCAGTGGGTCATGTGCTGGAAAGATAAAAGGTCCATACATTTACATGACACTCTAATAGCAAACTTTAGCTGGACCACTAAAGAAAAAAAGAGAATTACAACCGCCTAGGGTAAAAGGTGCTCCAGTCAGTAACAGCAAAAAACACAAAAACTGATAGCAGAAGGATATCCATCTAGTTGACTACATTACTTTGTCAGTATAGATACTTTTGCTCCTGTTGCCCTTCAGAGAAGCAGGGGAGCGCCTGAAGAGTTAGTCTCAGTGTCATGATGGTAGGCCGAGTAGGCTGTGGCGGTGCTGGAGGAGTACGCTGAGGGAGAAAGAGCTCTCTTTAATGCAATGACATAAAAAAAAGACAATACAGTGCAACAACAACACAGATGTTATATTTCATGCACTTGAGACAGGAACAGTTGAGTTTAACCCCCCGGGACTCCGACACATTCCCAGGCCGCTGTGCGAAAGTTGTGGAAACACAATGTGGTGTACCCTCATTCAAAGACATGTAACAGGACACCCCGTCCTTCTAACAGCCTCTTCTCAGAACAACAACAAAACAAAGAGAGGGACTGCTGTGCGGTAATCCATTTGTAACCCGAGTCCTTCGCTAAAATGACATAACAAAACACCTGACATTATGTGGCATATATTTAATGTGACTTGATCTGCCGCTCTTGCAGGTGCTGTAGGGGGGAGAATGAGGCGGATTGATAGGTGGGTGTAAGGTGGCAGATGAGGGGAGGGAGGGCGGCTAATGAGCAGGGGGATTGCAGTATGAGGAGAAAAAGGGACAGGAATGCGGGGCTTTCACCGTTTAAAAAGAGTGGTATGTTACTGGGAAGTAGAGAGGAGGTGAGAAAATGCCCGCAGCTGCAGCAGGTACAATGGAGAGCAGAGAGTGAGCCTCACACACTGATTCACCGGGGAAGTAACTATACCTCAATGACAAGGACGAATGAAAGACTGCAGCTCAATCAGCACAAAGAATAGAATTATTATGAACATGTGCAACATTTCTAACCACTAATCACACGCTGGTACATTATGATGCTGACTGATTCCGGTTGCCCTCCCGCATGCATTCACACTGACCCAGAGGAAGGCGTACTTGAACGTGCCTCTGCGCCCCCGTTATGGAAACATTCCCCAACGTGTACTCACTTCTCCCGCTGTAATGTCTCATTTTCCTCGCCAGCTCGTCGGATGGCGTCTGCTCTGACACTTTCACCTCTGGAACTGTGACGGAGGAAGGGGACAAAAAGTCAAAGTGAGCGCAAGCAGACAGTAATCCGGTCATTTCTGCTATTGTGAAATGTGTTTTAGGAGACAATGCGCGCCTGTATCAACTTGCCCCAGGTGAACCAATTATTATTAGGCCTGAAAAATGCCTGCTGTATTAGGGCTTCAAACTATGAGCCGAACAATAGACACTATGAGTCATTATGGGGCGATTGGGATAGCTGGCGTGCTGCAGCCAGGTGATTTAAAAAAAAAAAAAAAAGTAATCACATGGTATCTTAGAAATATGTATACAGCGGTAATTATTAATGCTAACTGTTTTCTTACAGTCACTGCTCATGAAAGTGTTGGTCATGGTCTCGTTGCCGCTGTCAGGCAGAGTCCCGTCACTCCTCCCGTTCGGACGCTGCTGTCCCGTCGACGGATGGCTCTTGTTCCTCTTGCCCTTCCTGGTGCTGATGCGGATGACCCCGTGCACCAGCTTACACTCGGCCTCCTGCTCCTCCAGGTTGTAGTCCTGGGCGATGCTGTAGATGAGCTCGCTGATCTCATTGGTCTTGCGGGAGAACGAGGAGTCGGAGGTGCACTTGGCCAGCTGGTCGATCTGGTGCAGTGCGTACAGCTCCAGCAGCTTCTTGGTGATGAGCGAGTCAATGTCTGTGCCTGTGTCGCTCAGGTCATCCAAGTCATAGTCCTCACGGGACAACAGGCTCGTGTTGCTGACAGGCCGCTGGCTCTCCCCCTTGCCAGGCGTGCGGGTCCGTTTGGGGGGAGCGACCGGATACCTTACCGTCTGACCTGCGATGCGCACGTCCGGGTAGCGGAAGCTGTCACTCGTGGGCAGCTTAGAGGGTCTGGTAGACTTGCTGGACTCCAAAGGGATGCCGCAAGTGGGGTTGTTCAGCGCCAGGCCGATAGCAGGGTGAGGCTCGTTACCCGCTTTAGGGGGGTGGTCTGTGGAGCTCTCATTGACAGGCAGGCAGGGCTCTCTGCTGCCATAAAACCCACAGGTGAGTACGCAGCAGATCAGAGCCTTGCAGCCACTCCAGCCCATGGACGCACAGGAGCCACAGGCTTGTCTGCTGGCGGGCGTGCTGTCTGCTGACCCGGGAATAAATCCTATAGTCTCCGAGCCCCGCGCCGTGCCATTCCGTGGATGGCCTCCGCTGCGACCGTACTTGTTCTCCGGATACCGGGAGTGGTCAGTGTGATGCTCCCCGTGGGGATCCTTGTAGGAGTCCTGGCTGGCCGTGCTCTCCTTGGATATAGTCCGAGTGTGTCGGTACTTGTCTGCTCTGGAGCTGGAGTGTTTTTGGTGGCGGGACACCTGGGGAGCCCCTGTGCTGTGGCCAGGCATGGCTCAAAATGCCTGGGACCTGGTGTGGGAGAGGCATGTTTAGACAGAACCAGGTGTAAAAACCTGCCCTCCTGTGCAATCATTAAACGCATCACGGCACATTAAAATAACATTTTAGACTGAGTACAGTCAACACTTAGCTTCCAGTTAAGAAACCTCCCCTGAGACTCTGAGAATGTAAATAACACTGAGTGCATTGATTGCTGGCCTGATAATAATTTGGCCCATTTCGTCGCGCCCTTGAAGCTTGTTTGGCCCTTCAGTAAATGGGCAGCAAAACAGTTCAGACCAAACCCCATTCAACATTTCAACGTTTTTAATTTGACTCACAAAACGTTCACTTACCGCATATGAGGAAACACTTGTGGTTGTCTTTTATCCCAGATAACTTGTTCAGCGAGCGAACCGCGGAAGTCTGGGAGGAAAACTTGAGCTAGCGCTTCAAACACAGAGAGAAAGACTTCTCTTTCGACCGCCCACAGATTTCCAGGTGACTTTACTTCCACGGAACAACAGAACTTTTGCAAACCCAGTCCGGTCCGCTGTCTCGGCCGAACAACGCAACTAGGCTCATTCGTGTCGTCTTCTTTTTTTGTAAAGTTCAGTGTTGTGTAGCCGAGAGTCTCCCAATGTTTGGCTATTACCTGCGGCTACTGCTAATCCCAGATCCTACACCCACCCACAGGTGAGTCGTGACGTCACGCGAGGCGGATATAAAACAAGAACAGAAGGAAAGAGGGTGAAAGACCCAAAAAAAGAAAAAAGAAAAGAGGACCAGGGAAGAAAAACAAATGCATACAGATAAGAAGAAAAAGAAAAGGGAAGAAAACCCGATAAAAAAAAAGTGATACATCAAACCTTTTCCGCAGCCTGACTGACACATGGTATTTGGTGATGGTGACGCAACATAACTTATGAATCCGGCACTTTACATCCGTACAAGTGGACTTTTCCATATGTACACACACATGCTGTAAACACACACGTACTATGTGGGTCGGACAGGCGCACAGAGGCGCACAGCTGCAGAGCCAGCAGGTGTTTTCCAAACCATATCTTTCATTCTGCCCTATTTTTCCTCCCATGGAAACACTTAATCATCCACTCTTAGATCTGAAATAGTAGGGCCAAACTATGTAGTGTGTCTTGTTTCACCGCAGCCACAATAAAACAGGAGCATTAAATACATCAAAATGTTATTTTATTTATAATGAATGTAAATACACATTTCATATCATACAGGAGCTTTAATATCTATTCCTTCTAATAGCACAGATAGATCACACTATGAATTCTAGCACAATAAAGACACACGGTTAATTAAAATGTATTGTTTTCATTTTAGTTAAGCATACATAATCTTATAAAGTCCTATTATAAAATTCACTGGGTATCTATGGATTACAGTTTGTTAGGTCAGCACTTTACATGCCATCTATGTCATTTATCTTCCTGGCAGTGTGCTGCAGTGTGTTTATATATTTAAAGTCATGACACTAATACCAAAAAGCAAAGAAACCACAGATGGCACAAATCGAGATGTGGATGATTTCAGTGTAGCCTACCTATTATATATTTTTAATAAACTTTATGATAAACACACAATATTAAGGTCAATTTACAGATACAATGCTCCAGTGCCTCGGAAACAGAAAGGCACTTTTAAGGTGAGATAAATTACGACTGCAGTTTGTACACAAAGCTCACAATTGTAAATCTACCAGCGTAATCTACAACTACATCTTTTTCATATGTTGTCAAATTATTCTAGCTTCATTACAACATCATAGGTTCAGAGGCGGCGAGGTTGTCACCTTTTTGACCTGTGTGTCTGTAGGAACCTGGATGATACAGGTGTCAGTTGGCAGCTGCTGTGACAGAGATAATCCTAAATGCCCTTGTGCCCTGCTGCCACGGTTACCTGCTGAAATGTGCCCCAGCCGAGGGTCTGAGTCAATCTCATATCGGTAGTGATATCCCTCCAGAACGTCCCGACATGCATCTCTCATTTCAATGATCCACTTCTTCATTCCGTTGCGATTCAGGTAGAGCACAAAGAGAAACATCATGCCCACAAACCCGAGCACCAGCCCCAGGAAGACATAGGATGTCTGCAGGGTGAGGTCAGCCACCTCTGCTTGGACTGGAACAACACATCCAATGGCCTGGACACCGAGCCCCCGCAGGCGGGCGTCACTTAACCCTCCCGGTGAGGCACACCTTACAGCGTCCATGTCTACCCAAGCTCTTGATTCATTCAGCCAGGCCACAAAACTGCGGATCTCACAGGAGCAGGTGTAGGGGTTTTCACCGAGAAGGATTCGGATGTTCCCAAGCTTCCCTAGCTCTTGTAGAGCATCAGCCCTGAATGTCCTGAAGGCATTGTGTGTAAGGTCCAGCACCTGCAGGTGGCTCATGCCAGAGAAGGTGCCACTGTAGACCTCCACCAGAGAGTTGTTAGCGAGGAAGAGCTGCTGCAGGTTGGGAAGGTGGGAGAACATGCCTGGGGGCAGCAAGCCAAGGTGGTTCCCAGAAAGGTCGAGACGAAGGAGACCTCTGAGGCCACCCCAGCGCAGAGCCGTGGTGAGGTCTGTCAGGGCGGAGGAGTTGTACAGCGAGCGGCTCAGGTTCAGCTCCTGAAGGGGACCACCAGGTACACTGAGAGCTTCTGGATGGATGAGTGCTAGTCGGTTCCCACTGAGGTCCAGGAAGCGCAGGTTGGTGAGAGCAGAGAAGCTGTGGGATGCCAACTCTGTAATCCTGTGAAGATGACTAACACTGTAACGTCTGTTCTTAGACCTTTAATATTATTTTCATGCTTGGATACAACTACATGCATCTCACTGCAAACTCTCAAAGTAAACACATGAAAACCACATACAGAGAAAATGTATTTATTAGATACACATGAAGAAACATCATCCCAATATGGCTTAATATGCTGAAACAATGAATGAAACAAAAACAAACACAGACATTCTCACCTATTATTGCTTAAAATGATGTTGGTGACATTCTCCAGCTCTGCAAACGAATCGGGTCCAATCTGGTGTATATTATTCCCTGTAATGATGACAGTCCTTGCATATCCTGGAATACTTTGTGGCACCGTGAGCAGATCCTCTGAAACACATTTTACTGTGCGAGTGACAGCAAAACACTCACAGCCAAAAGGACACTCCAAGCACTGGTATGGTGCACAGAGAAGGATTCCCAAAAACACTCTGACTGCAAAAACACACATTTCTAAAGTATAGACAATTAAAAAAAAACATTAAAAACCAAAAAAACACAAAAGAGTATGAATTACAGCAGAGAAAAACTTAATTCCATGTGAATTAATAAACTAATAATCTGAATACAAATGCTGCAGAGGCAGCCACGAGCACTCGAGCTTCAGCCCCTCTGAATCTACTCCACTCAGGGAATAAAGAATCCCGTAAATTGATGGCAGTTCATATCGCGCAGAATCTGCTGGATGAAAAAGGTACGTGGTTCCCTTAAAGGTACAGAGGACGATTAGGGCATCCACAGCCTGTGACCTCCACCACAGTCTGCCAGGGGAGACTTAAAAAGGCTCTGTACACAGCATATCCAAAAATAAATTACAGAAACACAAATATTACACTAATGCAGATACAGAATTATAAATAATACTTACTTTTGGGTACATAGCGTCAAAAACATCAAATAAATAAATAGATAAAATATATAATACATGATGTAATATAATGTAATATTGCTCAAAATGTGCATCATTCGGCAGAGTTATAGTGACATTCCTGAATGAGGATGCGTGGTTAGAAAGGGTTCAAATTCTGTCTGGAGTAAAGCAAATAATACACTCATGTTAAAGTAAACACTTTAACACTTCATTTTTCTTTAAACACCAGAGGAAAGAGGATTGTAGGGAAGGAGGAAGGCTTTTTTACAGCACAATACCACTATTTATCACATGTGGGTCCTACATCATTCTATCTTTGGTAGCGGCTCATATCTCTTAGACAAATAATTGATGAATACTTTCGCCTCTGTTAAGACTTTGCGATCCATTTTATAGTGATCCATCACAGAAATGTACATTAGCCCGTCTGGAAACACATTCATCACTGCCACTCTTGAACAATGCATCTCTGTACTCGACGGTAGTCCTCTACTGTGGTGTAATCTGGAAAGGATCATCTTCCTTCATAATGCTCTTAACGACCCACCATGTGAAGAACAGTTCTGGTCAGTTTTGAAGAAATACAAATAGTGTGCCTCACTTAATCATAAATAATTAGTAGAGAAAAAAATAAACAAAACCAGTGTGTTCAAAGCTGCCCACAAACAGCTGGGCTTTGCCTAGAAATACTTTCAGAGAGACTAACAGGCAATAGAGTCCCTCATTTGGAATTTTTTCTTGTACAAACAAATGTCCCGTCAAAACACATCATTCAACAGCCAACGACAATGCACAAAGTATAACCAAAGTCTATGAGTCAGCTCGTTGAACGGCTCGCTCCACTAATGTAGGTTGAGTGTTAGGATGAACGTGCCGAGGACTCCGCAGAGCATGAAGAAGGGGAGCCAGGTCTTGAGGAAGGCTGCCCAGCTGAAGGATACAGAGAGGATAATGTTAGAGTAACAACACCTGGATACGGTGAGTGTGGCAGAGAGGGTAGAACACCCTCTCGTACATTTTCAGACAGACAAGGACATGTGAGGTGTGTTGTAAGTATCACAGGGTCCAATCTCTTCGCTCCCAGAGGCCCACAGCCCCCCTCCACAAATGCACCCCAGCCCGCGTCCTACTGTCCTTTCCACCCAGGGAGCCCCACCGGAGAGGTGACCTTCAGTAGTGACACAGAGGGGGAGCGTCGCTGTCAGTGATGAATTACACGACTCCCCTTCTGTTTCAAAGACTCCTGTGCTGTGGGAGTGTATGTGCAGAGGCAGCACAAACTGTGACGCCAACGCTCTTTATGTGGGTCAGTGGAGAATAATGAGGGGGGTTCTCTGAGCCATATGTCTCTTAATGCTCACAAGCGTCCAGCAGCAGAGCAATTTAAAAGACTGCGTACACGTTTGTGATGAAGATGCTTCAGGTGTGTTTGGTGCAGTATTGTTAGCAGCCATATTTCCCCTCTACTACGTCTTCTGTCTGCTCTGCGTATACCACAGCTACTGCATGTCTGTCTGTCCTGGAAGAGGAAGTCCAACTGTGTCGCTCTTCCTGATGTTGCTATCTTTTTTCCCCCATTTCCTATTAGAGGTTTTTTTTTTTTTTTCCCAGATCCTAAGTGGGGGTCTAAGAATAGACGGTATCTGTTGTTGCAGAGGGTTTATGTTTTATAGATTGTAAAGCAAGGGCCAATTTGTGATTTATAACTAAAATTGATTTGATTAACCAAACCCAACAGCACAGACAAAAAGCAGAAAGACAGTTTTATATAGACGTGTTTGCTGTTTACAAACAGTACAGTGCTGAATGCTCTGCTGATGCACTGCCAGGAGGTTGTGATAATGTGCCTGTATACAGCTGCAACTCAGATGGAAGAGGGGATAAACCATTAGTGTTGGTGGTTCAGTCCCAGGCTGCGTCTGTCCACATGTACAAGCTTGACCAAGACACTCAACCCCAAAAACATCAGCGAAATGACACGGCATGTGATTGTTGTGTCACAGGAGCTAAACCCGTTAAACGTGAACTAATTCTTTATTTTATTTTGGATAAAACGATACGGTGCTGAAATATTACTGCACAATATACCCAGCAGATGTTCATATGGTTCTACATGTGAACTGTCCTTTATGGTAACTCCAATGACAGAACGAGGCTCAAACACTTACCTCACATGCTTTCCGTGAATAAGAGACAGCCCACACAGGTTCACCATGTTCCAAGACGTGCTATTGTCGTAGCGCATTAGGTTGAGGGCCATGGCCACGTGGGAATGGCAGTTATCTAAGCACAAATTGTGCTTGAACAAAACAGGAAAATGAGTTTCGGACTACTATCTGAATAATGAAGTGGAAATATGTGTATTAACACTCCTATATATTGTCTTACCGGTCTACATTTGTATTCCTCAGATGCATCGTGCACCGCTTTGTCCCATGTAGCAGCACCACTGCCACACACTTTGTCCACATCAAGCTTCCAATACCTAGGATATTTGTGATCAGTCAATCAATGTGTTCATTTCAATAACATACAATGTTTTGATCAATAAACTTACTTTGTTGGTCTACCGAAGCCCATGTTGTCCTCCTGGATCAAAAGAGTCACATTTTAAATCATTTAGTGCATCAAGTGAACTCATGTACTGACATAACAGCAGATACCATAAATCTTCATCAATTCAGCAGCTTTTCCCCTCCTGTAAGACATCTCAGATTAAAGCTTTACTTTTTCATTTCTATCTCTTCTGAGCCATTACACACGAGGTGAAACTGCCTATTGCAGCTGGTAAATACGTGGACAAATAAATAAAAACAGCCACACTCACCGAGACAAAGTACGAGCCTGCAAAATCTCGTATGATCCCAGAAGAGGTGCATATACCCATGTGACCAATGAAGGGGAGCACCCACCTGCAGGATGCACCCAGAGGACAACAATACATGACTGAACTTACGTTTCACTGTGAATACACACTATGCAGTACATTTAGTGCAGTACATTTATTTAAGGGCAATACATAGCATGAGACTCGGCTAGCTAACACAAATGTGCCTGAGCGTTAACCAAGAAAAAACAAGACGTTAGCTTCTTACGACAAAATAGGAATCGGCGTCCAGACAACGCAGTAAGGGTAGCGGCCGTTCTTTCTGTCGCCTTTCAAGAAATCACCGTGGTAATTCATCATCACGTCGGTCTCGTCCGCCTCCGCCATCACTGCCTGGAGTGACAGGGGGGATGACAGCGCGACGCACAGACAGCGCCTGCGCGGATAAACCCACAGTCGGTCAGTGAACGCAACACGGGTCATTTGTGTTTCAGTTTACTGGAATTGAATTAGTTTTGAGACCTACTGCAGGAGTCTACCCAATAGTGTTTATACTAAAACAACAGTATGAATTATTTTTTATTTGTAACAACGTTATTGTGTCTAATGTGCTCATGTGTTAATTATAATTTGGCAGACTTATCAAAGAGCTTGTTTTTCAGCCTTGGAGCCTCTGTGTGGTTTAAGCCCTATTTGGCACCAGAACTCACAGTCTCCGTCAGCCGGGAGCTTTATCACTGTAACCTGCACTACTCCTAAAGCTGGGTCACCTCATTACTGTACAGTATGTGGGACATGAGACGCTCCCCCAACTACTCCTGCTTGTGCTCATATTTGTTGCTTAATAGTCAGCAAAAGTAGGGAGTAACGCAGACACTGATGGATGGGAAGGATATCAGAGTTCATAGTGAAGCCTTACCTACAGCCTAGTTAAGTCTGTGAGTAATGCTGTATCTGTTGTGTAACTGTTACACTAAAAAGGACAAACAAGTCATCATTAATGTTACCATTTAAAGAACAAAAGCAATGCAGACAAGAACGTGTTCGATAATTTTATTATTCACTTTGTTTGCAACAAAGGTTATTATAGGATTCTTCAAAGAAAAACAGAGTATCTCAAATTAATGAACAAAGTAAAACACATGGAAGCCTAGTGTTGCATGTTGTTGAGGATCCATCCCTTAACATTTACCCTATTTGGAGGCAAAGAAGGCCCAATGAGCTGTTCTCTGAGCAACAGAGGGGATGACTCTTTGTCCTTTTTTGCCCACAGCTATGGTCAGAGAAGCCTCGCGCAAGCAGGACTGAACACCCGATTGCAGCAGGTGCTAGAGCCACACAGCTAGTAGACAGGAACCCCATCGCCACCAAATACTTCAGTTGCCATATACCATAAATTAAGCATCTGTGTCCCACTTATACAGAAGTTTCACACTAACATTTCATGCCAAACAACATTTGCAATCAATGGAACTTGATTTAAAATGAAAAAAAATCTGTATTAGAAAGTTGTAGTTTTTTTTTTTTTACAAATATTTCTGTCGATATCTTGTTGACCTTGTCAACAAACTATTGTAGTAAAACCTCTTAACTAAAAGGAGCACAGTATGCCATAATTATGTTTCAATGAAACAGAGAAAACAAACATTAATCCTTGGCCATTGAAATGATAGATGGCAACCTTTGGCAGAAGAAACCACTTGTTTTTTCCAACAGTCAGAAACTAAACAAAGCTCATAAATACATTTCATTGGAGCAACACTTGCAACTTTCACAACTTGGCAAGTGACAATTAATTCTAAGCTTCCTGTCACCAAAACTCAAAATATGATCAAGTCTAACTCAGAATCAATGACTTGGGTGTGCAGCCTTTCTGAGATGAGCGGGCACTAAGACTCTTAGCTCCAACTGTAGAGCAGACAGGAGATGCAACAAAGCACCGTCTTCTGGTCTGTGATCCGATCCTCCACGGAGGACACTGCGACCGTGTCGCCACGCTGACCTGAAAATAGGTCACCCGACCGCAGGATTCTCCTTGTATGTGTGTTTCTCCAACATAAACCTGAGGAGGGATAAGTGCTGAACTCCTCCTTCTTCATGAGAAACTGGGGAGTGACGTGGAAGGTGCTCTCTTCAAAGGTTTCCCCCTGCCACCACAAGGTGGAGGGAGAGGTTGAGGTGTTGTTAGTGCTTTGAAGGGGGCGAGATGGGTGTCTTTCTCCACCCTCCATGAATTCCTCTCCCCAAAGTGGTCTCCACCAGTCCTCTCTTTGGACAGGGGAGGGCGATGCATAGTGCAGAGATGTGACATGACATTCACTCAGTGTTTCTGTCAGATAGGAGGGGGGAAATTAAGATTCAAACAGGAGCTGGCAGAGTGCTTTGCTTCCTACATCCATTCTAAAGAATGGCCTACAGTTTTTTTAGCTCGGCCGACACTGCACTTGTCCCTCTGAGCTGTCTTCGTCATCCGAGCCGTCTGGGCCAACGCCACGCAGGCCTGTGATGCGATAGCCCATGTTGAGCAGCATTACCTCCAGCGGATCAGCGTTCATACGCCGCTGGTTCGCCTGAGCAGCACCGTCCATGTCCTCCACCACTCGCCCGTTCTCACACTCCGTCTGTATTTTGAGAAAGTGGAGGGAAGGAGAATGGGTAAGAAAGGGATATTAAGTCAGCTGTAAAGGATGTTTAAATGTTTTTCATTCTCACTGAATTGTGTGCAACTGTTTTCTTAAACTGTAGTCTCCGCATTTCAAGACCAGATATGTCATAAAGGCCTTAGAGGAGCTCAGCACGCCCGGTCCGATTGTTTATTGGTGGAAGACGTGCGTCATTCATTTGTGCAATCCTGAAATATTATACGGCCACTTTATGCTTACCAGGTATTTATCAGGTGGTCATCTGTCATGGGTAAATACATTATATGAACTGATAAGACATTTTTAGTGACAGTGGTAATACTTTACTGTTCCCTTATGAGGAATCAATACAATTATCTCCCACAATCAGTGTGAACTGGAACATTGGCACTGTGCCTGTGAACGTTTTTCAGAAATATATAAATACACTTCAGTTTCAGTCGTTTACCTCTGGTCTAGGGTTCCATAATCGAACCACGGGGTCAATACCACTGGTAGCCAGGAAGCAGTAGCTGGGGTGGGGCTGCAGGCAGTTGACTATGGACTCGTCCCCCTGCAGGATTCTCACCAGATTAGTCGTCTCCTTCTCCCAGATAAAGAAGGAGCCATCGTCTGAGCCGCTGACAATGTACTGGCCTTTGCTGCGGGAGGAAAGGAAACCGTTCAGACCTGCTTGACAAGCCACGTTCTTGGGACATGTCAGATTTACTAGGAATCAAAAAATGGTGCAACAGTTTTACATGGAACTTTCTTTGCAGAACAATTCGCCGTACAGGCTAGTAATCAGGGCTTTCTGGTGTGGGAGGTAGCTCTGGTATACAAGGTTCAATGGGAACTGAGCTTCTTTATGTGTAGTGCATTATATTCAAATGCTTTGAGTTATTTTTACTTAATGACCGTATATATCGTGATGTGAAATCAAATATTTTGTTAAGTAACTTAACAAAATGTAGTTTTTTTTTTATTTTTACACATAATACAACATTGCCTACATTGCACATTTTATAAAATATTTGCCTGTATTCAAACGTAAGGTCTTTAAGATTTTAAAGCTGATATTTTATAAGAAATGTTTTACTTTTGTCAAATCACAAAACCTTGTAGATATAGTACCTACAAGTCTACATTTATGAATGAAAGCTACTTTGCTCTGCTCTACATATTGCCCACTATAGATGTACTATGTCTTAAACTAACAGGCTCATGACTGCCCTCTAGTGGGGCCTCAGGAGACTGGGCGTGAGATCTACTGACCTTCCAAAGAAGTTGGCCTCTTTGATATCAGTGGTGGTGTTGCAGTGACCACAGTATCTGTGCTTGTAGTCGAAGCTGCGCTCTCTCAGGACCAGCTCATCTTCAGGGATGGACTCTTTCCGACTGAATGAGTGGAATCGAATGGAGCTGTTGGCCTTCTTATCTTCTGCTGTTTGAGGGGGAAAAAAAATCATAAATATTAGTCATTCGGGTAATTTACAAATAAACAAAGATTGACTGTTCTCTTGAAATGCAAAACCAGTATATATACACATAGATTACACACATATGATACTGTTGTTTACTTACAGTACCAGTTTCTAAACCTAAAAACAACCAGAATAATCCAGTGGAAGCGTAGCTTGCGTGTTCATTTCAAGATCCAACTGTGTACAAACAAATGAGAGCTACTGCAAATCAACAAAGTACCAATTCATTCTTTTCTACCTGATTCTGTCTTGGAGAAGAGAGCAGCCTTGATGTCTTTATCCAAGGCATCACAGGCACTGCTGTGCGCCTGCTCTGGGAACTTTCCTTTAAAATCATCCAGACACTCCAGAGCTTCAGACACATACTTGAGCTCAAACAGACACCGTGCCAGCCTGAAATGAGCCTTCAGATGACTGGGGTTTAGAGTCAGAGCCTTCAGACAGTCCCTGAGGGCATCGTAATGGTCTCCATCCCTGTCAATCACATATGTAAACAAACACTTGACAACTGCTTTAATAGCCTCATGGAGTAGACGATGACGTCCCCCTGCAGTGATACAATGATACATACCACTTGCGTTTCATGTAGGCTGCAGCCCGGTTCCCATACAGCATGGCGTTGCAGCTGGCCTGATGGATGCCCAAACTGTACAGCTGGATGGCCTGCGTCCACTGCTGCCGTGCAAATGCATCATTAGCTTGTTGCTTTATCTTCTCCAAGTGAAGAGGGAGCTCAGTAGAACTAAAACAAAGAGAGCAGAAGAATTCAAGTGTGTGCATGCTCAAAATCCAACCACCGACAGAGTGACAAGACAATTACCTAGAACATATCTTGCTTCCGGCCAGTCGAATGTGGCTGGCTGGTAAGTGAATTCCATTGGAGACGCCATTGGTTGTCTTTCCGTTCTGTACATCTCCTGGAAAGCCAAAGTTTCAGAAACCAAAAATACATCTATAGATACGGTACTTTATTACCTTTCAAGGCACCATTCAAGATCTTTTGTTAATATAGATGGAAAAGACCTACCTGTTGATGATTGGCACTTTTTTGGAAGCAAGAAGGTGTATGGCCTCTGTTTAAATGTCAAATCAAACAGATACACCTAAAAAGAGCATAAAAAAGAGAATATTTATATGCTGAAAAAGAAATAAATAATTCCTCTCGCGTTCATTGTTCGTTCAATGAAGCATTACCTGTTCCCCACCCATGTTTACGAGTAGCTCAGTGCCATCTGGACTGAAGGTGACATATGTGGCCACCAGGACCCTCAGGCGGTTATTGTAGTCTGGGAGTTTCACTGGCAGG